AGCTGGACGATGAAGGACCATTTTGAATTTAAGGTTTAATAGGAAATTAAGTACGTGATTCATGTAACGTAACGTGTTTATACTCACACACGCAAATATCAATTTATGAATGTTTGAGTCAAAATTGTTCAATTTAGTTTTGGATTTGTGAGGTCTTCAAATTTTGTCGGCTTCAACAGTTTCCAATGGAATCTTAAGGGGTGTTTGGGTGAGTGTAAAAAAGCTTTTTAAAAGTATTTTTTTTTCAAATCGAGACAACCTCCTCCACATATTTATTTCGTATACCGTAAAAGTACTTTTAAAATTATAGTTTTGTTTCCACTCAAATATTTTTTAAGAAATTCACCACTTGATGCGCATACAATGGACATTGAACCGTAAACCTTGGTGGACAAACGTGTTATTTGAAAAAACTTGTTTCCCGATAATTTCTTCAAATTTATGTTTTCGCCTGCCTTTATTTCTTTAACCAGAATTTGGGTCCTTCGTGCCACAATATAATACGTTGTATGCAAATAACTAAGGGTCTCCAAATCGGGAGAAGAACATTTTCACTAACTTTTCTCTTCATTTTCTTTTCACTTAATGTCTCTGCCGTTATATTAACTTTTAATGGTTGAAATCCGAAACTATATAAAAACATTATTATAATATTAAATATAATAAAAAATTTAGCATTGCAAACTATTCACATCAAATTTTAATACTATAAATTTATCTATCTATTTTATTATTTATTATTTAATATTATAATAACATTTTTGCTGAATAAATGTCACATGTTAAAGTGAAGAGGGAAATTAGTGAAGATGTTCCGCTTCCAAACCTTCACGACATCAGGTCAACCCGACATATTAAATAGAAGAATTTGTGTCATAAGGAGTCAACTCAAATGGGTCAAGAAGATAATTTAATATTTCATTTTCTAAGAATTTATTTGGCTCTAAATTTATTTTCTTTGTTTCATTTTCATTTCAATCATAATTAATTGGCAAAGTCAAGTCTTCTGCCTCGTTTGGTACGCTAATGGAAAACTAATCTGTAAATGAGAACCTTGTAGGGGTTTATTATAGTGATATAATCATCATTCCCCATTTCTCATTGTTTCAATTTTTTTTTTGGGATAATTAATCTGTAAGTCCTTATAGTTTCAACCAATTTTGAATTAGGTCCCTATAGTTTTTTTTTCTTTTCATCAAGTCCTTATACTTTCACCTGTTTTTAAGTAGGTCATTGTATTATTTTTCTTTTTATCAAGTTCTTATAAGTTTACCTTAATTTTAATTAAGTCCCTGAATTTGTTATTATTTATTTTTATAAATTCTAATAATACCATTCTATTACCATAAAATAGTATATACTATTTAATATTAGTTTATAAACAATAATATTCTAAAAAATGAATTATTATAATAATTTTATTTTTTCCATCAAGAAAATATTAATTGTTCTAAAAATTTTTCCTAAATTAAATAATTATATTACTTATTTTTTATTATATAATTAGTAATTTAATTTCATTATCAATATTTTATATTTCAGTATTAATCTATTTAATTGATTTTATATTTAATTAATAAATAAAATTTAAAACTACATGGACATGATTAAAAATTTAGTGAAATTATAAGGATTTGATTAAAAAAAAATGCAAAGACCTAATTAAAAATAGTTGAAAGTATAAGGACTTGATACAAAAAAATTATAGGGACCTAATTTAAAATTGGTTGAAACTATTAGGACTTGTAGATTAATTAACCCCCTTTTTTTTAATAAATAGGGGCATAAACATTAAATCTTATCAAGAAAAATTATTATTTTTTAATTTCCCCCCTCATTTTTAATATCAAATACATCGATACTTGCTTTGTAAAATTGGGTCAAAGTCTCTAATTGAAAATTTTATTAGTGAAAAAGACCTAAATAAAAGTACCGGTATTTTGTATGTGCAGAATTTGCAAAGTAAAATATCGGTATTTTTTGCAGAGTAATAAAAATACCGGTATTTTTCACACAAATAAAATTTTTAATGGAGGAAATTTTTTTTCCCTAATTTTCTCACACTCGGATGGGTATTATTTTGTAACCTGCATTGTAAGGTACATTCAGAGGGAGGAGAAAGGTCTTGCTTTCTCTATCACCATATGGATAGCTAGCCAATAACAAGAAATTTATAACTTGTTTAACGGTTTGAGGGGCGTTGAAGTTAGAACCATTCAAGTACAACTGATGATAAAGAGCAATGAGGATTGACGAAGCAGGAAGCAGGAATTAGTTTTGATGTTTATTATTTTAATGAGTATTCTAAACTTATCAAATTTAAACTGTTTATATCGAATTTAAATGGTTTAGTTTGAAATCTTTAATTAATTATTTTAAATAGAAAAAAAATTATTTTTTTTAAAAATAATGGTTAAGAGATTATCTTTATTTTAGATTTCATTTATATTAAAATAATTATTTTGAAAAAATAAAAATGAAAAAGAAATCAAGTTTTGACTATCCAAATATAGTATGAATGATTTAAATTTGATGAGTTTAAGATATTCACATTAAGATGAGTACCGAAATTGGTTAGGGGGAAGCAACTGAGAGGAGTGAATAAGATAATTTAATATTTTTTTTATTTGTTAACAATTTACTTGGCTGGGTTTTCTTTGATTATTTTTCATTTCAATCACATCGCAAAAGACAAGTCTTCTTTACCAAATACAAAAAAAGGTAAGTCTTCTTTCCCGTTTGGTACGCTTATGGAAAAATAATCCGTAACTGAAAACTTTCTAGGGCACATATTTATTATATATATTGATATAATCATTATTCCCTATTTTTCATTGTTTTAAATGATTTTTTCTAAATAGGCGCATAAGCATTAAATTTTATCAAAAAAATTATTTTTTTCATTTTCCCTTTTAATTTATAATATCAAGCATATGGTATACTATTTCTGTGTGTGTGTATACTCAAAATCAAAATTTTGGGACAAAAATGAATTAATGGCAGCTGGATGATGAAGGACCATTTTGAGGTTTCTCACTTCCAAACCTTTTAGCAGGACATTCAAATAATGCCAAAAAAATTTTTTTGATAGTATGGTAATCTCTTATATTTCTCCCACACTCCTTTGTATTCAAATATCACCTTTTATCCTTAATATAAGATCTAATTAATTTATTTGAGGAGATCAAAAAAGTTAGTAAATGACCTTAATGTATTTACATTTATCATCTCTCTTCAAACTAATTTGTTACTTTTATAACTTAATATATAATCTAATGTTATGTATAAGTATTTTCAAAAAATCATTTAACATGTAATTATGTAACTGGGTTTTATATTAACGATGAGAGTAGTAATTTTGAAATTTAATTACTTTTTCTAAAGATTATATTATAAGGTCTCCCATATTTCACTTTATTCAAGTTCTTAACTGAAACTGTTTTTTATTTTAGTATAAAATATAATTATCAAATTGAAAATTGACCGGCCTCACAAAATTCCATATTTCTTGACTATTTTACTGATTATTAAATTATATATGAACCCTAATTTTCAAAATGTTTTAACCACAAATTTTCAGAAAATTTTATTCAACATTGAGTTAATCATGCTTGGCGTGTTGCCAGGACCATTTGTTTAGCCATTTCTAAGCCTTTTATTTAAGTCCAAATGAATGTTTGAATTAGTTTATCATAAGTGATTTTATATTTACAAAATAAGTATATGAGAAGAATATTGTGTCGCAAAATGTAAAATAGCTTCTTTTTTTTAATTAATTCTCTTAATAAGTCTTTCATTGTTTTTTTAATGTCAAAGGAAACATAACTTCTCTTCTTTTCTTTTTTTTTGGTAGCCCCTTGAGTATGCTCTAAACTCTACCCCTCTCGATGTATATAATATAAGGAACTTATTTTTATTTTCCTTAATTATAATATTTCCATTCCGTTTAAAAGATATACGTAAGCCTTCTCTAAATAAAATAGTTTAATTGTCAATGTATACTTGAAAAAAAAAAAAGTAACTTAGTAATTAAACAAGTGGAATCTCTTATAATATGGTCCCTTGGGATTTCAAATTAATTTGATAATTTCAAAGGAATTTTTTGTATTTAATTTTTTTAAGTAAGACCTTGTTACAATTTTTTCTAAATAATTTAGTCCCCCCAATTGTTTTATTTATTTATATATAAATGGGGCGTGAGCATTAAATTTCATGTTATAAAGTTACATTTTATTTTCCCCTTCATTTCTAATATCAGACGTATGCTATACTTTTTGAAAAATTGGAGAAAAGTTTCATATTGAAAATTTTGTTAGTGAGAATGACCTAAATTATGTATACAAAATTTATAGAGTATAGATACTTTTTGTGCATAAAAATTTATCATTTTTTCCTTACTAAAATTTTTTGATAAAATTATTTATCCAATTTTTTCATACTCGTGTGTGCATTATAAGATATATTCACTATTCAGAGGGAGGGAAGAAGTCCTACTTTGACTATCATATCATAGAGGGCCCATGAAGTTGGAACTATTCCAAAACCTAATTTTGGGACAAAATGGAATTATGCCGCTTTCACAATGAAGGACCACTTGAATTTCTCACTTCCAAACCCTTTAGCACGCTATTCAAATAATAGCAAAAACAAATTGTTGATAATATGCATGGTATATTCAAATAATTTTGAAATTTAATTACTTTTTCTAAAAAGTATGTTATAAGATCTCATATTATTTCACTTTCTTAACGGAAATTATGATTGATTTAGTGCAAAATATAGTTATCAAATTGATCTGTCTCACAAAATTTCATATTTCTTGACCATTTTCGTAATTATTAAATTATATATGAACACTAATTTTCAGAAATTTTAACCTCGAATTTTCAGAATACTAGTTGAATCAATGCTCCATCAAGTTTTATCACACACGAGAGAAAAAGAACCATCAAGTTTGAATGTGGCTAATGGCGCTGTCAGGACCATTAACAAAGGAATTTGTAGTGTGAGTCATTTTCTCTTTTAGCTTAAGCGAGTGTTTAAATTAATTTATTTTAAATGATTTTTTACTATACAAAGAAAATACATGAGAAAAGTTTGTTTCTTAGGGGGTAAAATAATATTATTTCAATTGATTCCCTTTTTTCCCCCAAAATATCCCTCAAGTCTTTTTTTTTTTTTTTTTTAACGTCCGCGGGCACACGACTGTTGTTATTAATTTTTTCTTTTTTGTAATCACTTTAGTACACCTAATTTATTTATGACTAATTTTATTACTAAATTGTACGTGAACACTAATTTTTGGAAATTTTGACGTCAAATTTTCAGAAAAGTAGTTGAATCAATGTTCCATCAGGTTTTATCACGAAAAATAAATAAATAAAAAATAAAAACAAAGGTTCCACCAAGTTTTTGGATATGGCCATGTGCTTCTTCTTTACGCCTTTTCCAGTCAAGCACGTCCATTGGTCTTGTCAGGACCATTAATTAAATAATTTCTTCTATATAGGTCTTCGCATAAAACTTAAGTGAGTGTTTAAATTAATTTATTTTAAATGATTTTGCACTGTATAACAGAAAAGTTTTGTTTTCAAACCGTAAAATAATTTTATTTCATTGACTTTCTTGTTTTCCAAACCCTTCAGCTCGCCATTCAAATAATACCCAAAAAATTGTTGATAATATGTTAATCTCTTAATATCTCTCCCACATTCGTTATATGCAAATAATATTGAAATTTAATTACTTTTTCTAAATATTATGTTATAAAAGATCTCTCATGTTTCACTTTATTTTAAGTTCTTAATTGAAATTTGTATTGATTTAGCATAAAGTAAAATTATTAAATTGATCTGCCTCACAAAATTCCATATTTCTTGACCGTATTAGTAATTATATTAGATTATATATGAACATTAATTTTCACACAATTTTCAGAAAAAAGTTGAATCAACATTTCATCATGCTTAAGTGTGGCCATATACTTGTTCTTTACGTCTTTTATTTTTTCTTTTGATTCATTTTCATTTCATCAATCAATCACAAAGTCAAGTCTTCTCCCCCGTTTGCTACGCTAATGGAAAAGTAGTCCTATAATTGAAAACTTTTGTAGGGCATTGATCATACCGATATAACCACCATTGCTCCGTTCACATTGTTTCAAATGTTTTATAATAAAAATGAAGGCACAACAATTCAATTTTATCAAATAAAATTATTTTTTCTCCTTTCATCTCTAATTTAAACGAGTACTCTTATGAACGGAGTAATGTATACAGTTTCAGGCACAGCTTATATATTTGTATGATTCATTGCATATAATACTCCTCTAGTCCTATTAAATAAGGTAGAGAGAAAATGCTTGTTTAATCCTATTTATAAGATGTATTATTAAATTTGTCATATGAATGTACACTTTTTTTTTGCAAACAATTTTATTTTATTAATAATTTATTATTATGTTATTTAATTCTTATATGGTATAATGTATATAAAATAAGAACAAAATTAAAATTTTATTAAATTTTAAGATAAAGTTAAAACTACTTCTAGTTTTTAATATAATAACTAGATAACTAATTTATGAATATTAAAAAAATTAATTAAGTTAGTAATTTGTAATAATATATTGTCTTACCTAAAATATCCTAGTTAATCATGTGTATTAGAATTGCTCTATCATGAAACTTTTAATATGTGCAATCAAAATATGGGCTATTTTGGAAAAAAGTGGATAAATATAAGAAACAAAAAAAAACTGTGATTTTATATTTATGATTAAATTAAATCTACAATTAGCTGTAAAAGGCCGAAAGTGGTAACATTTAAGGTTTTTTTTTGGCTCAATAAAACATGTTGAACATAATTTATAAATAAGATCCAAGAGTATATATGTGGGAATGAACTTTATAATCAATTGAGTTTTTTTTTCATCCCAAAATATTGACCTCTTAATAAAAATATTTCGAAATTTTAATATCTCTACCATTACATTAACTTTCAATGGTTGGAATTCAAAACTATATAAAAATATTTTTTTATTCTAAAAAGCTGATTTTACATAAGTCATAAGTAAGTTTTAGGTACTTTTGTAATCATGTTTAAAAAAACAGCTTTTGATCTATAAGTTAGATTGGTAAAAAACTATGATAAATAGCTCTCAAATTTACAAACTGATTTATCATATTTATAAGCTATTTTTTCCTCCTCAAAACGCCTTGCCATCAAACAAGCTGAAAATTGGCTTGCGACAAAGTCACAATAGTTACGGCATGTGCTACTTAAAAAGAGGAGGCAATTTCAATATCATTATTTATATATAGAAGTGTGTTACAATGTGTTGATATTTTTGTGATAAATTAATATTATTGATTTTTTCTATATAGGCGCATAAGCATTAAATTTTATCAACAAAATTATTTTTTTTTTCCCTTTTAATTTATAATATCAAACATATAATATACTGTTTCTGTGCGTGTATATACTCAAAATCAAAATTTTGGGACTAAGATGAATTAATGGCAGCAGGACAATGAAGGACCACTTTGAAGTTTCTCACTTCCAAACCTTTTTGCACGCCATTCAAATAAAGCCGAAAAAAATCTGACAAAAAATTAATGCCAATTTTTTTGTTGTTGTTGATAATATGGTAATCTCTTATATTTCTCCCATCCTTCTTGTATTCAAATGCTACCCCCATCCTTAATATAAGATCTAATTAATTTGTTTGAAAGGATCAAAAAAGTTAATAAATTACCTTAATATATTTATATTTATCTTGTTACTTTTATAAATTAATATATAATGTAATGATATACATAAGTATTTTAGAAAAATTATATAACATGTGATTTTATATTTATAATCAAATTAAATCTACAATTAGCTATAAAAGACCGAAAGTGGTAACATTTAAGGTTTTTCTTCGGCTCAATAAAACATGCTGAATATGATTTATAAATAAGATCCGAGAGTATATATGTGGGAATGAACTTTATAATAAATTGAGTTTTTTTTTACATCCCAAAATTTTGACCTCTTAATAAAAATATTTCAAAATTTTAATATCTCTACCATTACATTAACTTTGAATGGTTGGAATTCAAAACTATATAAAAATATTTTTATTTATTCTAAAAAGCTGATTATGCATACGTCATAAGTAAGTTTTACATACTTTTGTAATCGAGGTTAAAAAAACATCTTTTGATCTATAAGTCATATTGGTCAAAAGCTATGATAAATAGCTCTCAAATTTACAAACTGACTTATCATATTTATAAGCTATTTTTTCCTCCTCAAAACGCCTTGCCATCAAACAAGCTGAAAATTGGCTTGCGACAAAGTCACAATTGTTACGACATGTACTAGTTATAAATAGAGGAGGCAATTTCAATATCATTATTTATATATAGAAGTGTGTTATAATGTGTTGATATTTTTGTGATAAATTAATATTATTGATTATATTGATTGAAGTGAACTATTCCCGTGCATCGCACGGGGGTATATATGCTAGTTAAATGTAATAAAAATTTACAATTGCCAACTATTCACATCAAATTTTAATACTATAAATTTATCTATCTGTTTTATTATTTAATATTTAATAGTATAATAACATTTTTACTGAATAAATCTTACCTGTTGAAATGAAGAGGGAAGTTGGTGAAGATGTTTCGCTTTCAAACCCATGTGACATGGGCTCGACCCAACGTATTGAAGAGAAGAATTTGTGTCATAAGGAGTCAACTCAAATGGTTTAAGAAGATAATTTAATATTTTATTTTCTAAGAATTTATTTGGCTCTAAATTTATTTTCTTTGTTTCATTTTCATCTCAATCACAATTAATTGGCAAAGAAAGGCAAGTCTTCTGGGCCGTTTGGTACGCTAATGGAAAACTAATCTGTAAATGAGAACTTTGTAGGGAGTTTATTATAGTGATATAATCATTATTCCCCATTTCTCATTGTTTCAAATATCTTTTTTTTATAAATAGGGTCAAAGTCTCCAATTGAAAATTTTATCAGGGAAGAAGACTTAAGTGAAAGTACCCATACTTTGTATGTCAGAAGTTGCAAAGTAAAAAATATCGATATTTTTTGTGTATAAAAATTTAATATGTTTTTCACACAAATAAAATTTTAAATGGAGGATTCCCCCCCCTAATTTTCTCATACTTGTATGGGTATTATTTTGTAATGTGTACTGTAAGGTATATTCAGGGGGAGAAGAAAAGTCTTACTTTCTCTATCACCATGTGGATAGCTAGCCAATAACAAGAAATTTATAACTTGTTTAACGGTTTAAGGGCTGAGGAAGCAACTAAAACGAGTGAATAAGATAATTTAATATTGTTTTTTATTTGTTAACAATTTACTTGGTTGTGGGTTTTCTTTGATTATTTTTCATTTCAATCGCATCGCAAAAGGCAAGTCTTTTGTACCCAAAACACAAAAGGCAAGTCTTCCTCCCGTTTGGTACGCTTATGGAAAAGTGCCCCGTAACTGAAAGCTTTTTAGGGCACATATTTATTATATATATTGATATAATCATTATTCCCAATTTTTCATTGTTTTAAATGATTTTTTCTATTATGAGCATTAAATTTTATCAAACAAAATTATTTTTTCAGTTTCCGTTTTATTTTATAATACCAAACATATGGTATACTATTTGTGTGTGTGTACTCAAAATCAAAATTTTGGGAGAAAAATGAATTAATGGCAGCTGGACAATGAAGGATCATTTTGAAGTTTCTTACTTCCCAAACCTTTTAGCACGCCATTCAAATAAAGCCGAAAAAAATCTGACAAAAAAATAATGCCAACTTGTTTTTTTGGATAATATGGTAATCAATTATATTTCTCCCATTCTCCTTGTATTCAAATACTACCCCTTATCCTTAATATAAGATCTAACTAATTTGTTTGAGGAGATCAAGAAAGTTAATAAATTATCTTAATATATTTATATTTATCTTGTTACTTTTATAAATTAATATATAATGTAATGATATACATAAGTATTTTAGAAAAATTATATAACATGTAATTATGTAATTGGGTCTTATGTTAAGGACCAGGATAGTAATTTTGAAATTTAATTACTTTTTCAAAAGAGTATGTTGTAAGATCTCTCGTATCTAACTTTGTTCAAGTTCTTAATTGAAACTGTTTTTGATTTTAGCATAAAATATAATTATCAAATTGAAAATTGACCGACCTTACAAATTCCATATTTCTTGACTATATTAGTAATCATTAAATTATATATGAACACTAATTTTTAAAACTTTTCACCGTAAATTTTTAGAAAAGTTTAATCAACGGTCGTTCAGTCAAGCACGTTCGACGTGTTGCCAGGAACATTTATATGAGAGGAATATTCTGTTGTAAAATGTAAAACAGATTTTTTTTTAGTTAATTCTCTTAATAAGTCTTTCTTTTTTCCCAAGGAAACATAATTTTTTTTGGCAGCCTCTACCCCTCTCTCGATATATATGATATAATGAACTCATTTTTATTTTCCTTAATTATAAAAATTTCTATTCCGCTTAAAAGATATACGTAATACGCAGGCTTCCTGTAAAATTAAAATTGGGTTGCACAAATTTTTCTTTTATTTTTTAATATTTCATTTACATCGACCATGACAGTACTATTAATTATTAGTCATTAAATAAAATAGTTTAATGTTTTTTTTTTGCAAAAATAATTTTTTTAATAGCTTGCTAGTATACAGGCCCTTACCTTGGGAACATTATTCTATATTAAAGCTATAATACAAAGAACTATTATATTAGGAGTAAGGGCTACAGTGATGTTATCAACAAATCTGTTTGTCATGGCCAACATGTCAGTGAATCTATATATTATGCGTTAAATAATAGAAATCAAAACCTTGACTTATAATTCTGTTATGGGGGGGGGAAAGGCTTATAATTCTATTTTTTACAATTAGGAATTATAAGAATTAAATACACAGTGCACTAAAATTAATTTGTGTTTACAAGCCCATGGTTTATATACTGAAGCCAACCAGTTTTTAATGGCGACAATAATTCATGTTAGTTTTTTTTTTTAATCAATTCCGATTATATTTTAGTTCCCATCAAATTCTTCAATCCAAGTTGGAAGAAGAAAGTGACTTGAGCCAGCGATTATTATGACAAACCTTTTATCGGGCGTAGCTCTGCCTATAAAAGAAGCCTCATATGTTAGATACCATATCCTGCGCTCCTTCATATTCATAGCCTTCTAACTTCACTCATGGCATTTCAAATCATCATGTGTTTCTACTTGTTCCTTCTTTCTCCTTCCCTTTCTTCTTCTCTCCACCCCCCATTATGTAATTCTCATGATTCCATTGCGCTTCTTCATTTTAAAAACTCTCTCTCTCTTGATCATTCTGCTTCAATGGAGTGTGATGAGTTTAAGTACACATCTTACCCAAAGACAGCTTTATGGGGAAATGATTCAAACTGTTGCTTGTGGGATGGGATCACGTGTGACTCGATGTCTGGTCATGTGATTGGCCTTGATCTTAGTTGTAGTTGGCTCCAAGGTCAACTCCATCCTAACAATAGCCTCTTTGAACTTTCTTATCTCCAAGCACTCAACTTGGCTCACAACAATTTTAATGGGTCTTTAATATCATCTCATTTTGGTGGTCTTTCCACTCTCATGCAACTAAACTTAAGTGATTCTGTTTTTGCTGGTGAAATTTCTCCTAAAATTACAGAATTGTCCAAGTTGGTCTCTCTTGATTTGTCTAGGAATAGATTTTTCGATGGGTGGTTAAGTTTTGAACTGTCCACTTGGGAGAAGCTTGTTTTAAACATGACTGATCTAAGAGAACTTGTTTTAGATGACGTAGATGTGTCTTCCATTGCATCAAGCTCCTCGTCTTTGAAGTCGCTTAACATTTTGAGTCTTGAAGGTTGCAAATTTGATGGGCCTATTCCTGCAAGTTTTGGGAACCTCACTCAATTAACTGATTTGAACCTTGCAAGAAACAATTTTAGTGGTCAGCTTTCATTTCTTTCAAATCTTCAAAGTCTCACTTCATTGGACCTCAGTGACAATTATTTTAGTGGTCTCTTACCGAATTCCATAAGCCATTTGAAGTCTCTTGATTTTTTGGGTCTTCGGGGTAACCAATTTCATGGGCCTATTCCTGTAAGTTTTGAGAACCTCACTCAATTAACTTATTTGGACCTTGAATTTAACAGTCTTAGTGGTGAGCTCTCATTTTTTCCATATATGTCAAGTCTCACTTTATTGGATCTCAGTGGCAATAGTTTTAGTGGTTTGTTGCCAAATGTGTTTGGAAATCTTTCAAATTTGAACTTTCTTGATTTCTCTAATAACAAGCTACAAGGTAATTTTCCGGAGTCAATATTTACACTCATAAATCTTTCTCATTTGATACTATCATCAAATAACTTCAGTGGTTCTGTTAATTTTTACCAATTTTCCAAGCTTCAAAATCTAAAATATCTTGAACTTTCAAGCAACAAGTTTCTCTCACTTACCTCTGATAATAATCTTAACTACACCATTCCCAATCTTTTGAGCTTATATTTAGATTCTTGTCATATCACTATCTTTCCAAAATTCATACGCCTTCCAAATTTGCAGATGTTAAATCTTGATGATAATAAGTTGCAAGGTCTTCCTGAGTCAATTTTTGGTTCCCTAAATCTTTCCCATCTAACTCTGTCATCAAATAATTTGAGAGGTCCTATTAGTCTTCATCAATTCTCAAAGCTCCAAAATCTACAATCTCTTGATCTTTTGAACAACAAGTTTCTCTCACTTAGCTCTAGTAATGATGTTCACTATACCATTCCCAATCTTATAGAGTTAGATCTATCCTTTTGCAACATCAATGACTTTCCTAAACTATTAGGAAACCTTGAAAATCTGAAGTATTTATATCTATCCAATAACAAAATTCATGGAGATATTCCCCAATGGTTCAATAATGTGGGGAATGGTTCTTTGTATGCTTTGGATCTTTCTCATAATAACTTGACATCAGTTGAACATCTTTCAATGAGAAATTTGATATCTCTTGATCTCAGCTTTAACTTGTTGCCTGGAAATCTCCCAATTCCATCCTTTGATGTTGAATTCTTTTCATTGTCCAACAACAAATTCAGTGGACCCATTTCTTCCTCATTTTGCAATGCAAGCTCACTTGAGATACTCAACTTATCTCACAACAACTTGTCAGGCCACATCCCAAAGTGCCTTGTTGCTCTCCCAAACCTTACAAGTTTAGATCTGCAGATGAATAATTTTATCGGATCTATACCAAATAATTTTTCGAGGAGCAATTCTTTGGAATCTTTGCATTTGAACAACAATCAATTTGAGGGACAGTTGCCTTTGTCTTTGACCCATTGCAAGCAATTACAAATTTTAGATGTGGGAGCAAACAAGATCAATGACAAATTTCCTAATTGGCTTGAAGGCTTACCGAAGCTACAGGTACTCATTTTAAGAAATAATGAGTTCTATGGTGCCATTCATAGTTCCAACACCAAACATCCTTTTCCCATGTTGAAAATTTTTGATGTTTCCAACAACCATTTTAGAGGGTCTTTGCCAACAACATACATAAAGCAATTTAAAGGAATGATGAATGTTGACTTTGTTTCAGCCATGCCAAATTACTTGGAAAACCGTTATGGTGGTTATCAAGAATCAGTGATGGTCACATTAAAAGGTGTTGATTTGGAGTTGGTAAAGATCATAACTACATTCACGTCCATTGATTTGTCAAAAAACATGTTTGAGGGAGAGATTCCACATGTTATTGGTCAGCTGCATTCACTTAAGGGGCTTAATCTCTCCCATAATAAAATCACCGGCCCTATTCCTCAATCCATTGCAAACTTGACAAACCTAGAATCGTTGGATTTATCATCAAACTTGCTTAAAGGTGAGATTCCTCTTGCACTAACAGATCTCAATTTTCTTGAAGTTTTGAATCTTTCACAAAATCAGCTTATCGGAGAAATACCAAGAGGTAAGCAGTTTGATACATTTTCACAAGATTCTTTTGAGGGAAATTTAGGACTGTGTGGATTTCAATTATCAAAAGCATGTAATCATGATGAAGGGAAATTGCCACAACCAACTTCATCAAGTAATGACAACTTTGGATTTGGGTGGAAATCAGTGGCTTTGGGATATGGATGTGGGATGGTGTTTGGAATATTCATGGGTCAAGTTATTTTTTTAACTGGAAAACCCAAGGGGCTTGTCAGAATTTTTCAAGCTAGCCCTAAGAAACAAGCAAAAAGGACAAGGAAAAGAGCCCATCAGAATCAAAGAAGAGTGAATTAGGCACAAAATATGGCTTCATGTGATATATTGTTCATCTTTTTTTTCTCTCCATGTTTCCACTATGGTAATTATTTCATGTTTCTTAAATATCTTGTCAGTGATTGGAATGTAATGTACTGTATATTTAATGCAAGGTATTGTCTTTGCCCCCCCTTTTTAATGAATTTCAAGTGATTTGCCTTCATTTGTATGCTATGTACTATTTGATCATCATGTGAATAAAATTTTCCACGTATTAGAAACTTTTTTTTTTCTTTTTGGTACAGACATGTCATCAACTTATGTTATTTGAATTAGTTATTAACCATTCAACCTTTCTCGTCTAATTAATGATTTAAAGAAACTTTTAGTTTGTTCGTTTCTTTAATTTAAAGTTCTATTGAAGGATTTTTGGTTTTTATAAATATGTGAAAATCACTTTCTACTTCAAGACTTTATGATCGATATATGATTGTTTAGAATAATGCTACAAGCAAGAATTTAAAATAAGCAAAATGATTTTATTTCAAATTTTAAACTCTTAACAATTTTTTCTTATTTTGCCAAACTCTTAAAACTGAAAATATGACAATACAAAACACGAGCCTCAATTGCTTTATTACTTAACAGTTAACATTCAATTGGGCTAGTCCTCTCATGAAAATCTTGGGCCTAAAAGCATTTTAGCCTATCAACGACATCGTGACCCCTTTTTTCGTAAGTTCATAAATTCTTTTGTTTGTTTTTTTACCCCTTATTCAGATTGAAAGAAAATTAGAGAGAAAAGAAAATTAGATAAAAAAATATAGAGAGAAATTATTTTTTTTTCTTACTTGGATATGAGAGCAAATATGGGAGGAAGGAACCCCTTGCTTGAAGTAAAATAAAATTAGAGAGGAAAGAAAACTAGAGAGAAAAATATGAGGAGAAATGAGTTTTCTAAATATCAATGTAATGAATTATTTCAAAATCAATTATAATTGAATTGATCCTCATCCTAACAAAATTCATTTAATTGATATATGTATCCACCAATTCAACATAGGCATAAGATTTTTCAGGATTGGATAGGAGAGAAAATATGAGAGGAAGAAAAAATGAAAAAAAAGGGGGTAAATTCCATATCTCATTTTCTCTCTAAATATGGATAAACTTGGGAAGAAAAACAAGATTTTTTTGATTGTTCTTCCCCTCTCTTCCTCTCACATTTATTTATTTTATTTTATTTAAAAAACTATTCACTTTTTATTTTTTATCTTACAAGAATATTTTTTATTAAATAATTTGCTTTTAAAATATAATACTATGAAAAAATATATAAACCAAATAACTTGATTTGAAATTATTTGATGATGTTAATGTTAGTGTAATATTCCTGTTGTAATATTTAATTTGATTTAATTTTAAATATGATATATTTTGATAGGGGTATTTTAGTTATTTAGATATTTTCTTATTTTCTTTCCTCCCTATTTTTCTCTCATTGATCCAAGCAAGAGGATGTTAATATCTTCTCTCTAGTTTTTCCTTCTCTCTATTCTGCTCTTCTCATTTTCTTTCCTCCCAACTTTTCTTCTAATTCAAGCAAAGTAGAAAAGTGGAGGAGAAAATAAAATGGGTCATGTGTCTCATTTGATCTTCAAATTTTCTCTTTAGATATTGAGAGGTTTAGGAAGGAAAATAAGATTTTTGTGACTGTCCCTTCTCTCTTTTCCTCTCCATATTTATTTATTTTATTATATTCAAAAGATTATTAACTTTTTTATTAAATAATTTGGTTTTACAATATGATAATATGAATATATATATATATATAAACCAAGTAACTTGATTTTAAATTATTTGATGATGCTAATGTTAGTATAATGTTCCTATCACAATATTTAATTTGATTTAATTTTAAATATGATATATTCTGATAAGGATATTTTAGTTATTTAGATATTTGCTCATTGTTTTCCTTTCTATTTTCTCTTGTCTATCCAAACAAGAGAGATAACAACATTTTCTCTTTAGTTTTTCCTCCTTCCTGTTTTACCAGTTTTGTGTTTCACTGTTTCATTTGACATCATTAAAATCCAATAAAAAAATAAGGGTCAATGAAATATTGTAAATACGAAGTAGGAAAGAGGACCAAAAAAAAAAAGAATAATAAGTGCTTGAATCCACCAATTTCTCCCGAAAAAATAATTTTCAAGTATGTATTTATATATATATATATATCTATATATAGAGAAGTTCATTCATACATTTTTTCCCCCTCATTTTCCTCCCAATTTTCAAGTCCTTCAAAAACTTCAACCAAGTTAATTCAAACAATCAAATGGTCATAATAAAAAAGAGGGTCTTAAACTAAACCCTTCAACGAGCCTTTATACAAGGGCGTCCCAAATTATGTGGCGAATATATCTTTTAAAAATTCGTATATACTTAGAATATAGGGAAAATAACAAATAAAGACCCCTGAATTATCAAAGTTATAAGGAGGTCACCTGAAAAAGCCAAATTGCCAAGAAGGACCTAGTCTCAAATTGTAATTATGAAATCAGGCTAAAACGCCAGAAATGTCTTTATTCTCTTTCTTCTATCACTCCATCTCTTTCTCTTTCCTTCTTCTCTTTCTCCTCGTCTTCATCCTTCTCTGCCTCTTCATCTACCTCCCTCTCTTTTTCATTCTATTCCTCTCCCTCTCAAAATCATTCATCTCCCGCCTATGCATTTATCAATATGATTAAGGTGGTGGCTATTCCCACCAATCTTTATCACAAAAAAGATGGTGACCTATCATTAATGCTAGTTGATGACTTTCAACTTTCATTTCCAGATATGTTTTTGATATAGTACTATTCGATTGTCAAGAGTACTATCTTCTTTTTGTTTACTTGTATTTGGGAATCGATAATCTCCTCATTTGATTCGAAGTTGCTGGTTGCTGTCAAAACACCTCTGGTTTTTTGTTATTTAACTTACTATTGTTGTAATACTATTTAGTAGTGTTGTAACTACAGATTGGTTAATTTGATCACAGCAACATGGCATGACAATATGAAAATGTTGGTATTTTGTTTATGGGCATAGCAATGTTAACATTTAGTATTTATAGTTGTAAATGGTATCAATGTAGATCCATTTAATGTTCTAAAATTCATGACAGACCTCCTCACAAACTTATAATTTCACTTACCATAGTTGTTATTTGGCTTTCCACTCTTGTCAGTTGATTTTCATAACTTGTCATTCGCCTTACTCAACTTGTCATAAATTACATATCAGAATTTTTCATCTGTTAAAGAAATTTGAAATTTTGTCATTTGAAAAGAAAAAATTAAATTTTTATGAATTATTTATCAGAAGTTGTCATTCGCCTTACTAAACTTGTCATTCGCCAAGGAAATTTGGAAATAAACGAAGTTATAATTTGATATACTTAACTTGTCATATATTATACTTAAGTTATGGTTTTCTAAAGTAAAAAACAATCATCTTGTGATGATAGAAATGCAGTGATAGAAACACAGAATTTGTTACGTTATATCCACGTTGGCAGACATTTTGAAGCAAGTGATTTATAAATTGTAGAGACAAAAGATATTGAGATATCAATTTAAGAGTTAACTCTTACATTTGTTTGATGTGTATAAAATAGTTATTTAGCTTTACCATTTAGAACCAAAAGAAATAATTCTTAATATAAGAGTTTGTTTAACTTTTATTTTGATCATAAATATAAAACCCTAATTTATTTTGTCTCTCATATTTATCTATTTTTTTAGGGTAGTCCTTATAATAATAGTTATTCTAGCCAGTACACTTGATTAACAAGAATATTTTAGGAAAAACAACATTTATTTATTACAAATAACTTACTTAATTAGTTTTCTTAATTTACTCAAATCAATCAACTAGCTCTTATATTAAGAACCGAATGTAATATTATTCTCTTAAGTGGCTATAAATCTTTGAATGTTTTATGATGGAAATATTAGCCAAATGCAAAATAAATTTAATTATATAAAAATTAAATTTCAAATCTTGAATTCAAATTGAAACTTTTTCAATATGAATAACATTGAATGGTGATTAAAACCAACATGAGAAATACTTGCGATTTGATGGCAAAAGAAAAAGAAAAACTTGTTATTTAAATGATCACATAATTTGACTAGTAAATTTATTTAGTAACATTTTTTGAAACAAAAAGCAAATCTTGAAAGGAAAATGACAAATAAAAGCCCCCAAAATTATTAAAATTACATAGAAGTCACCTGAATAAGTAAAATTATCATGAAGGACCCAGTTTTATATTATAAATATGAAATTTTGGCTAAATGGCTGAAATGCCTATCAGTCAAGTTGTGATTTGGTCTATTAAAGTTGTCATTCGTTAAAGTGAACTTGTCATTTCCTATAGTCAATTTGTCATTTGGCTGAAGGGCATTTCAGAAATTTCACCAAGATTTCATATTTGTAATAAGGAATCGGGACCCTCTTGATAATTTTGCTTATTCAGGTAATTTCTGTGTAATTTTGATAATTTGGGGTCGTTTTTGTGATTTTCCCATATCGAAACATAAATATTGTCATGTTAAATCTTAAAACTTAGAGTAAAATACTATAACGGGTCGGATAAAATTCAACGGGTTTAACGACCGGCGAAACACAACGCGACTTTGAACTCAGACGAATTTCGCTCTGCAGATCTCTTGCGAAAATCTTCATCCTTGCTTCAGAGGAGAAGAAACAGAGTCAGTGGATTTGAATTTTGAAACCCTAGCAGAAGTCGGCATCTCAGACGAAGATCAGGTGCTCAAATGTCCGTTACTCTTTTTCAGTTTTGACCAACGTTCATGTATTTTCTTCCACTTTCTGTGAATTCCTTGTCACTATCATAGCATAGCTGGTAATCGCGTAATCTAGTTCGGATCCTTACGATTCGAAGCTAAGTTTTATGAGATTATTTTTGGAACTCTTATTCTCTGCATAATTAGGATCAATTCTATATGTTAAAGATTTAGCTCCGGGGTGAGATCATGACCATAA